ATGATACATTGCTCAAAGTTGAGTTTGTAAAATCAATCTTCTAGGATAAAGTAGGGGCCCCAAGTCTCAAAAATTGAAAGTCTCCGCATTCCTGAAATCCAGAATCACAAAGACAAAACACATCTTCAGCAAATTCATAATATTTGCATGTTTTTGACTAAATTATTATAAATTGCAGAGCATCTGGCTTAGAGGACATTTTCCTGCTACTTGTGCTGCTGACCTGGTTCAAACCCGGCCAGCGTCGGGTTTTAATTGGAGTAGGATCGCTCTAATCCTCGAATAACCCTTGCATGGGGCAGGATAAGGGGCAACATATCTGTTATACTGTATGTCGTTAACTGACGACCCGCAGCTGTACTGTGGCTGATGCGGGTCCCCAAGGGCCCAGCCAAAATTTCCAATTCAAATATTTGGAATTAGACACAGAAAAGGATAATTTAATCTTTCATTTAGCCAGATCTCCCAGATGTCACTTCTGCCAAATTGGGACCCTGTGTCATCTTCTTATCGTACATACCCACTGAGTGGTGGTGGTGGTAGAATTGGCGTTAACCAGGGCCGCAACGAAGACACTTTTACCATGATCCTAGACCCTGTGTAAGGACTGTAAACTAGAAGCCCGTTGATGGCAACTGGCTTGTGTTAAAAATAAGTGGGCAGTATAGTAATGTTTACAGCAGTAACAATAATTTTGTATACCATGTGCTTTGTCTGTGAACTTTTGATACATGTACTTGAAGTCCGAGTTCAGGTGGTTGTAAGAGTCTCCGTAATGGCTGACTGAAATCGTTGTCGGGTCTGAGCCTTTCCAATTGGAATTACGCACGCTGCCATGCCAGATCAATACTTGTCCATTATTCTGACGTGCACTGTACTTCTGCGAAGGCGTAGAACTGTTAACATGATTAAATACAAGTAACATCAGAAATGAAAAATATAAAATAAATATAATCACTCTAATTCTGTTTGGAATTCCTTGCCAGCAAATTGCTTTCCTGCTAATCTTAGGCGAGACGTTTTTAATAACTTGTTAAGTGAATCTATTTCTTTTAAGATTGTCAAAGGGCGGGTATTAGATGTCCACAAACTTAAGCTTTTATTCTCATGGAAAATGCTCCACCCACCTACAAGCCCACCCCTTCTCCTCATTATTCAAAAGTCTGGGATAGAAACTCTACATAAATTCTACATTATGGGCATCTCATAACAATTGTGAAGGAATGATAGAAAATGTATAGAGCAAATCAAATTTAAATTTAATGAACTAAAATAGAGTACTTTCTTATCGGACAACTGCAAAAAAAAAATTAATTTGCCAATCAAACGAAAGTTACTGTAATTGCAGTTTCTAAAATTATGATCTACAATAATAGCTAACTTTTACCCTCTCAATCTATAGAATCTCTCCAGCTTACATCCTACCCCACACACAGAGTAAACCGACTGCGATCAGAGGCCCTAGGTGACCTGTCTGGTTTGAAACCCAATGTCAACTTTGATAAACGTGATTACAATACCTGCTAGGTGACATAATTGAAGGTGACATAATTACGGGTGTTCTGTTTACAGATGAAAATCGTTTGTTGACTGCAGCCTCAGGTGTTCTTTGAACACGCTTTTTTGATTCCTGTAACAAATGTCAGAGTAAAATTAAGATTTCTATTTTTATATTTCAAGTGTGAAACTTTGGGTAATTTATTTTATTCATCATTATTATTTATACAGCACAGGCTGTCTACTGTACAAGCTCCAATGCACAGAAAAAAAAACAAACAAATATTGTAGCATTGTAATGGCAGGCTAGCTGGGGTGAGGCCATTGGGTGTGCAGCCGGGGACAGGGCCCTTGTCGTTAGAGTTTTGCCCCATTGAAAAGAAAAACCAGATTTCATGAAAGATAAAACAAATTTAATGTCATTTTCATTACATAAATTACAACACTGATAAAACAATATTAGCACGCTTTTCGCTTGTTTGTATTTCTAGATTGTAGAGATAAAATAAAACAATGCAGATAAAAACCCAACACCACTGCACTATTCCTGAGCAATTTCAAGACATCAAGTACTCAATTAAATGATGTTGGCATCTACTGTAGTCCCAGTCAATTCATACAGTAATCACAAGATTTTAAACATTGTGACTCTGAAATCAATTATAGTTTTCACTGACTAGAGACAAATATTCAATGTCTTTTTCAAATCGACAAAATAAGCCTTCGTAGTCCCTACTGTAAATTGTCGGATAATGATTTCGAAACATTTCAGTAACGCTATTAAAAAAAATTTTCAAAAAACCTACCGTAGGTGTTACGTAAGCATCGAAGAGGTCATCAGCAGCATTGGTATCCATACTAGAAATAAGGTTAAGATATTTAACTATAAAACATTTATTACTATTATCTTGTATGTTTAAATATAGGCCTGTTGTTTAAACTTGGCAGTTGGTAAGTTATGCCACCAACTCAGGGTTGTCATCTTCAGATAGTGGGCAGGGGGGTCCTGTCATAGCACACTCATTCACCACATGTTCATGGGTTTGTACATGTCCACAAGAACAAACATCACTGTTTGTGATGTCCTACTTTTTCATGCTGGCAGCAAACTGTCCAGTGCCAGAGTGTAGCCTGTTTAGTTGTACCCAGGCCTTCCAATGGAGGTTGTTGCCTGGTGGGTGTGATGACCAGGCCTGAATGTATGGCTGCAATTGGTCAGGTAGAGTTGGTATTGTGTTGGCCACTGCTTCCATATGTTCCATGTGTGTAATAATGCCATTTCCAGGCATGACAACAGATTGGAGGCTTTTCACTTTGCCAGGTGGAATTCATTTTCTTGGGGGCTTTGTTTGATTTATCGGATTATAAAATTTTGTGCTGGAGGCACTCTATCAAAAAAATTTTCATGATCGGAGGCGCAACATTTTTTTTTTCAAGACAAACAGTTTAACTCTAGGCACAGAAGATGGTTAGATATTGGTGAAGGCATTAGGTGTGGGAGGCACAAGCATGGGGGGGAAGTACAAGAACTTCAACCTCTAACGACATGGTGACTGTTTAGATATAACCTATCCAATTTTTTGTTTTGCTTGTTTTCATGACACTTTACAGACACATAATATTAATAAATTTAAAACAAAGATTAAGAGTTAATTGAGAAAGAAAATTAAAACATCTACTATTTAAGTTTAATCACTGAATACTGTGCATTATTAGAAGGACAACTCCAAAGTTTGTTAATGTGAAAGCATACTGTACGTGTCAGCAAAGGATACATTTCGTCAATAGTCTCTGCAGTGTAAATCATAGGTTTGGTATCTTTAAATTCCTCTTTAGAAACTTTCATCTTGCTAGCAAGCTGTTTGTAAGAAATCACGTAAACAATTTTGATTGTCATTATTTGTTTAAGATGCAACACAAAATATATTTCTCATTATTAAGAAAACTTTATTAATCATCAACAGAGAAACTTTTCAAGTATGAAAAGAACATTAGAAGTATCAGAGGGTCCATTATTTAATTTCAGATATTAAGAAAGTATAATATACTCTAATCAAAGAATTATTGGATATTTCTTTCTTAGGGAGTATGAACTATATTTACTTTTTAATAATAAGTTTTGTATTTATAGGTATACTATATGTTACAATAATTAGAAAAACACATACTGTAGATCTTTAAAGAAGTGTTCAGGACAATTAAACAAAAAATTATTTCTTATTCCTCAATAGATACCGTATACCAGGTACCCCCTATTTCTCGGTGAAGACACAATTGTGAATAAACTGCCTTGCTTAAAAAGGACACAACAAATGACCAGCTTCTGAGCTTTATACCTGAACTTTTAAATGCAAGGCCACAGTTTTACCACTGCATCACATGCTTTCTAATACAGTAATATATTATCAGGTACCAACCTGTTCTTCAAGCTGGTCAAGATTTTCAAGAGTGAGAGTGATATGAGATGTGGATGAAAATGCTACCCATTCCTCTACGATCGCATCCGCCTTGCGTCTGTACAACATGCATAGGTGTTGAACTATTAACAAAGATGAAAAACATAATTGAAGGGGAAAAAAATGGGGAGAAAACCAAAAAATGTACATAAATAACCCAAGAAACTAAAGGTAGGATATATTACTTATTAGGAGTCATAGATCGGAAACTATAATAAGTGTTGGTGCCAGGAACGATAGCTGAATGACAGCTGAACTCTGCTTTGAAAATATACATTACTGACTAGCTAGCCCCTCTGCCATATCCGGGCATCTAGTAGTTAGTAGAGCCAAGTGCCAATTCTTAAAATTTGTTCACATCATGATCAGATCAGCATCAGCACAAATCATGTTCAGTGTTGGGGCTGAGAGAACTTTGTTGTTGCGCAATGCATTCTGGGTTGCTAGCCACGATCCATTATACTATAGTGTAAAGTTTCTTAATTGCACCTACTACTACTACTAGGTAGTAGGCCTATTTTTTGTAGCCCCATGGCCTAGGCCTAGGGGGCCTATGTCTGCTCATCACTCACTCATTCACTCACTCACTCACTCACTCGACTCGGCACCATACGCCGGACGGGCTCAATCAAAACATGATGATGGTACGCTGTAATAATAATAATAATGTATTTAAAATCAACTTACGTTTATCAATAATATCTTCATCACTTAAAGAAACGCCAAATATATCAAACTCTTCAATTAAGTCGTCCTTTGAAACATTATACGACATCTTTTTTGGCCTACTACTACGACAAAACCTCCTTTCTTTGAGTTTCGCGCAAAATTTCAATAACCTTTGACCCGAACCGAAACACTGTACTGTTAATAGAGGGGGTATTATGTGTGCTATGGTTTAACGCCTTACAGCGGATGTTAAACTTAAAAATAAACTATAAATTGCTCATTAAATTATCAAAATGTATGTCGCACTACAGATCGAAAATTTGTTAAATTAAGCAAATTATTATTATTACAGGTCTCCCTCCAATTAAAGATCACTTTTGAAACCGGTGGTTCCATGGTCTTTAGCAGCTTTAGTCTGTAATTAGAATAATAAAGACTTTGTTGATTTTAGATTTGGGATTTGTTAAGTGGTCTTTAATTGAAGGGGGTTATAGTTTTCAAGTTTGAATTCCATTTTACTTTAATAACGAAATAAAATGTTAGTATTCTATACTAATGTAATATAGTATAATTCATACTCCAAGTATCGAAATGCAGGCCATCGTGTCG